TGGAAGTGGGGGTGGCCAGTGCGTGAGGCATCTGCCCCATGGGTCGCGAGTTTGACACCCTTGCCTTAGAGCATAGGACAAAAAATAGAACAAGGGGAAATGAAAAAAAACTGTCTTCAATCTTCACTTTGGGAAAACCTAGTTTTGCGAAATGTTATACATATGTTAAAATAAAAAACTCATAAGCAGAGACTGCAGATATTCAAATTAAGGCGAACCAAGTCAATAGTTTAAAGCTTTTTCAAAGAAAAAAAAACCTTTGTCTTGAGGACATACACCCACCAAGGGGTCAAATTTGTTTTTGTTTAGGTTTATCTATTTATGCAGCTTACCTACCAGCTCAATAGTATTCACGGCCTCTACGATTAAGGATTGCCAGTTTATGGAATTCCCCGCTACAAGGTAAAAATAATACAGACTGTAATTTTTTTTAACCAGACAAAATCACAGAGAAGAAAGGGTTAATTGTGAGCACGCAAAGAAAACCTGTGTTTAGAGACTGCTCAGCTTTGAAACGAAAATACTATGGACCGGCCACCAAGGGATGATGGAGAACTGTAGTGCAATGTAGCGGATCTGCCTGGCAGTTTTTAAAAATAAAGACTTTTCCATTACAGTATTTGAGCCTTTGTTCTGACTCATCTTAGATCTTCTTATGCCTTCTTAACGAAAGAGAACATCCATCGTTAGACGCAGACTAATTTTTAGGAACAAGGTGCTAGGATTAAGCAGTAGAACAGTATTTCTCAAGCTCAGCAACTTTAAGAAATGTGGGCTTCAACTCCCAGAATTCCCCAGCCAGCCAGGCTGGCTAGGGAATTCTGGGAGTTGAAGTCCATACGTCTTAATGTTGCCGAGCTTGAAAAATATTGCTTTATATTCTCCCCTTTGAAATCCCCTTTCACTCTCCCAAACAGTATTTGATATTGTATTTGGCCTACATGGGGGAACCTACCATGGTGGCTGGGGAATTCTGGGAGATGAAGTCCATGAATGTTAATGTTGCCCTGTTTGAGAAACATTGCATTAGGGCAGGGGTGTCAAACTCAAGGCCCGGGCACGAATCTGGCCCACGGGGTGTTTAGATCCAGCCCATGGAGCCACCCTGGAAACAGCAAAGGACGGGCCCATGGTGCCCGAAAACAGAGCTGGCAGACGGTTGCAGGAGGCCATCACAGCTGAAAACGGAGCTTGTGAGGGCTGGGTGCAGCCATCCCAAACTCTGTTTTCACTGACAGATGGGCTGCAGGAGGCCGTCTCAGCTGAAAACAGAGCTCTGGAGACCGTTTTCGCTGGCAGAGCGCTCGGGCCACCACAAGCGCCCCTGACATGAATGATATCGATCTGGTCACACCAGTGGTGGGTTTCAAAAATTTTTGAAACCTGTTCTGTAGGTGTGGCCTGCTTTCCAGGTCCACTGGTGGAACCTCTTCTAACCGGTCCGGTAGATTTGACGAACCGGTTCTACTGAATCGGTGCGAACTGGTAGGAACCCACCTCTGGGTGACACCCATCCCAGCCACACCCACTCCGGCCCCCTGAAGTCAAACACAACCCTGATGCTGCCCTCAATGAAATCAAGTTTGTCACCCCTGCAATAGGGGAAGGCTGAATCTCTGAAACTTAGGTGTTAGTTGCAGAGCAGATTAATATTACTGCCGAGAGCAGCTAATAGGACTTTATCCTCTTTTGTAGGCATTCTCAAGTCATTGTAGAATCCCATTTAAATGCATTCAGAATCCAATCCTTACATCCTCACTTCATGTCACTAGGCCTGTAGTGAGGAAGTACTACAGTGTGATGTCCCTTGCGATATCATTCTGCAAAACCTATTGTGACTTCATCACGTGTCATTGTGATTAATACTTGATATCTAAGTTGTTGTCTAGGATCAGAATGCTGGTAAGGAGTTCAAAAATATCAAGATGGCAGCTTTGGACCAGGCTTCAATTATGTAGGTTGCAGACACTGTTTTGATGCTTTTCAACCACCCGCCCTCTGGGCTCCATCTAAGAAATTGGACTAAACAAATGGCTCCACATATTGTGAACTATCACTATCTACCTACCCATAGTTTTATTGCAGTCTTCCCCAATCTGGTGCCCTACCATGATGTTAGTCTAATTCTCCCAATCTCCAGCTAACACACTAGCTATTAATTTTAGAGTTTAGTTAACCATTTTGAGGATATGTGATTCAAGATCTCGATTCCAATTAGTTTCAACCATGCACCAAGATATAAACCATGGTTCACACACCATCATAGATGGATTCACATAATATGCTAAGCCAATACCAAATACACCCCATTATGACTGGGTGCAATAAATGAATGGGCATTGTCTAGGACGAAGGTGGGGAACTATGACCCTTTTATGACCTGTAAACTTCAACTCCCAGAATTCCTGAGACAGCATGGCCCAGGAATTCTGGGAGTTGAAGTCCACAAGTCATAAAGGGTCTCTGGTTCTCCACCTCTCCTCTAGGAGCTTTTGAATGGGAATTTATAATCCTGCAGAAAGAAGAATTTCATAGACCAGAGGTTTCAAACTCGCAGCGTCACGTCGTCACATGACGTATCACAATTCCCCCCCCCCTCACTAAACTGGAGGTGGGCGTAGCCAGTGTGTGATGCACTTGGATCACGGGCCGCAAGTTTGACACCTCTGGCATAAACAAACAGTATGTGTTTTCCTCTACAGCATTTTAGTAGGAGGTCCATTCAATAATCATCAAATCTTTAAACTGGCAGGTTGATTTCTTGGGGGACTGGGAAAATATTTGCGTATTGTTCATTTTAAAATATCCTAACATCTCCCACCTCACAGGCTGGGGAAAAGTGGAGGGAGTATTAGGTATGCTCGTTGCCTTGAGTTATTTATAAAAAATAATAAGATGGGGTAAAATAAAAACAAATACAATTGATTCCTGATGATGTATGGACATACATCTGCGTGGTTTGTTTGCAACAGCGTGGAAGAGCTTTGCCAGCATTTTCCTACAGAATGTTTTTGCAATCTTACAGCCGAGCCCTCAGCTTTGGCAGCCTCCTTCCCAACAATGAACAACGTCCAATTCTGCTTAGCATCAGATCTCAGACAAGGACCCTATCAGATGGCTAAAGCCCACTTCTTAAGATCAGTCAATTCCTCAATGTTAAGATGGTTCTATGTTTTTGATGGGGAAGGGACAGATGCTGTGGGCTGCATATTTGCTGGATCGCTAATGTGTTTTGCATGGGATTTTAATTGAATTGGACAGCTGTGCGAAGAGGTTTTTCTTTTATAAAAAAAGGTAAGCGAGTTGGGGTGGAAATGGGAAGATGTGCTCTAGACATTGGACAGTGCTTATGTGGAATAATGTCTTCCTATGACATGGCACGTCCCCCAATAAAATCAAAGTATGGCAAAACATGATGCTGGCGTTCACGTAACATCTTTAAAATAATGGCTAGGTTCCTATAACCTATTCATCCAGAAACCAGAAACCCATTTATCCCAAAATGTTGAGGAAAATCAGTTATTCTCTTAGGTAAGAGCATTGATGTGAAACTTGCCGCATCACATTGCTATCATGTGACATTTCACGATGTTGTCCCTATTCACCGAAATGGAGTGGGAGTGGCCTGCACGTGATGGATCTGGCCTGCGGGCCGTCAGTTTGACATCCTGGGTTAGAGAAACGAACATATAATTATGTTGGGGTGGGTCTTAACATTATTGGAACCCTACAAAACCAGGGGTGAAATCAACTTACCGTCGCTACAAGTTTGCAAGTATGAGTGTGTGCAGGACCTTCAAAAGCGTCAAAACCGGGACATGATGACATCAGGCTAGGTGGGCGGAGCGTCCTGTTGCCAGCGCGATTGGTTCGTGGGTGGGCGGAGCGTCCCGCTGCCAGCACTATTGGTTCGTACGAACCAGATAGAACCGGCTGAATTTCACCACTGTACAAATGCAATAGGGACAATCATTCAGCCACTGCCTTCCTCTCTCTGTCACACTCTCAGAGAATTGAGAGTAGCGGCTGTAATTCCTTGACTCTTTACAGGCAGTCCTTGACTTACGACCACAATTGGGATCAGAATTTCTGTTGCTAAGCAAGGTGCTTGTTAGGCGAGCCGTGCCCAATTATATGACCTTTCGTGCCAAGGTTCTGCAGGCATTAAGCGGATCGTGCAGTCGTTAAGCGAATGCAGCTCCCCTCCCATTGACTTTACTAGTCGGAAGCTGCCCCGGGAGGTCACACATGTGACCCCATGACCCTGGGATGTTGCACCGGTGGTAAATTCCATGCCAGTTGCCAAGCATCCGAATTTTGATCACGTGAATGTGGGGCGGCTGCAACAGTCCCTAAAGTGCAAGGGACGATTGTAAGTCACTTTTATTTGTTTTCCAGCACGCTTGTGTTAACTTTGCATGGTCACAAAACAAAAATGAATTCAAGTTGAGGACTACCTGTACACAATTATAAAAACTACGGGGCTATTGGATCTCATTGTAAAAACAACAACAACCCACCCCAAGACTACCAAAAGGGGCAGCAGAATGCTGGAGGGGGTAGGGAGAGAAAGTGTCCTTAATCTCTCACTCCTATCTAAAGTTTGCCTGGAGTTTTGCAGGCAAGACCTACTAGTCCTAAGCAATATCCATTCAAATCCCTCGTTCTTCTTTTCCACTTTCCCCGGAAATATTTGAGCGTGCGGAGTTTTATTGTCGGCCGGTTGCTAAGTAAAAGCAAAAAAGAAAATCCCCATTGGGAAGAATTCCGTTTCCCATTCTTTTCCCAACTCCCGTACTTAGGAGCTCCGAAAAGAACCCTGTGGGCGAAATCAGCCGTGTTCCTCCCTCCTTCACTCCTCTCCACCTCCCTCCCCCCCCCGCTTTTTTGGGGGCTTGTGCAGCTGGTAGTGATGGTGGCTGCTGCGGCGGAAGGATACGCCAGAGAAGGAGGGGGAAGGTCTTGATGCGAGTGTCTCTGTGTGTGTGCATGTGTGTGTGTGGATGTGTGGAAGGAAAGGAGGAGGAGAAGGCGGCGAAGGAGAAGGGGGCGCCCGTCCGCTGCCCCAGCGAGCAAGGGGGTTGGAAAAAAAAAACGCAAAGAGAAAGAAGCTCGAGCTATCATGAGCCAGCCAAGCAAGCGCTAAGCAGGGTCCGCGGCCGGAGGATCGGAAGCACTTTTATCTTCCAAGCGCGGATGGAACGTTGAAGAGGCCACATCAAAAGCTCCTGGCGGGGGGCAAAACACCCGATCGAACGTTGGGACAAACATTCGATCGAACGTCGGCGCGGCCGAACTCGCAGCCCGAGGGGCGCAGGCAGACTGAACCTTCAGGGGGGGAGCGCCTTTCCCCGTCCTCTCTTAATTTATTTTCCCACTCTCGCTTTTTTTTTCCTTCTCCTTTCTTTTTCTTTTTCCTTTCTTTTTTCCTTCCTTCCTTTCTTTTTTTAAAAAGAAGCCTCCCTCCCTAGTTTTTACTACACTGTAGCCATTTCCGTTTGCTTGGACATTGTTAAAGCTGCCTCCACCGTCTCCGTCGCCGCCGGGAGAACAATAGGAAGGCAGGAGGGGCGACCGGGGCGCCCACCCCGGCTGCGCCCCGGGAATCTTCAGCCATACTTGTGGATGTAACCCTCCCCCACCACAAAGCCGAGCAGGTAAGCCTGAGGAAGGGGAGGGGGGTAAGCAACTAGGGGAGGGCCTCTGCTTTTAATTTTTGGGGGGTTCGTTTGTGACTCCTCCCCCTCCACGGAACTATTTTATTTTCGGAGGGGCCGAGTTGACTTAAGTCTTGAGTCTTTCTTCTCTTTCTTGCGGGTCTATAGATTTAACTTTGCTACTTTCCTCGGCACTGCCCCTTACTTAGTAATTACTGTTACACTCTCTCTCTGTATGTTTGTTATTATTTCGGTGTATTTTTTTCCTATTCTTTCCCCACACGCACGCACACTTGTCCTTTCTTTTCTCCCCCCCCCGGAAGTGGCATTAAACTTCATGGGGCGGGAAGTTAGCTGAAGCAAAAGGGGGGGGGTCTTAACTCCTTTTGAGGGTGGTGGGGGGAAAGCAACAAGCTTTTTACTCCATTGAGCTTTCCTTTAGACCTGTGGTGGAGTTCAGCTTTTTGGGGGGAAGGGGGGTAATAACCTAAAGCAGAAGGGGGCTGACTTTCCCCCATTTTCTTGGCTGTGAAGTTTATTGTCCTTAAAGACAGAAACACTGGGAAGTGGTGTCTTAATTTCCCCGGCAAAGAATACAGATGCTTCTTTTCAGTTGCAGTAGTTTGTTCACTTTAATGAAGGGACCCAGAATTCACTCATAGTAGATATACACATGCATACGAGTCTCCCCACACACATACACACGCACACACTTCTCCCTCTTGCCTATGGGAAGTTTTATTATACTTTGTCCAGCACCAAAACTTGGTGTGTCAGCTATTATTATTTAGGGTGCAGTTATCAAACAGTATGGATTCAAAGAGGGCAGAGCCCAGAAGATGTTCCGGCCGGTGATTGTATTCCCGGCCTATTTTTGCAAGGCAGCCTTTCTCAAAAGTTTTTAACGTTCTTTCTTCACACTCTCACTCTGGTGAGCAAAGCACACACCAGTTTGGTGTCCCTGATTACAATATCGTCTCCCTTTTAAATCCCAGTTTGCCAACTCTTTCTCTTTCGTCCCACAGACGCCCACCCTAATTTATATTTTACCAGTGCGCGACCCTCCCATGCTTAAAAGCAAAACAAAACCCCAGCACAGGCTAATGAAAGTGACAAACTTTTTAAATGGGAACATATCACATTGATGTCACTGCTTGACTGGATTATTCTTCTCCCAGCTTCCATTTACAAATCTCTCCCCCCTCCCCCCCCCCCCGCCAAACAAACCTCCATTCCTTTTGTAACTCTTAATATTTCTACAGCAGGTTTTATGTACCAAACCCAACGTATATGCCACCCTCCTCTCCACAATTATTAGATGAGCTGCACAAAGGAAATTGGGAAAATGCAAGGTTTTGGCCATGGATGAAATTAAGCAGAGCCTGGGATTAAATGCTTACTTTATTTAATTATTTATTTCAGCTTTTTTTATTTTATTTAATGAAAGAGGTATGGTTCAAGCCCCCCACACCCCCGTTCCTCTTTTCCCTTCAGATATTTCCTTGGGAAGTTTGTATGGCAGCAATCTAGGCCTACTTTTAGAATATCCCAGAATTTAAGTGCAACCACTAGATTTTTGGAACTCTGTGGGGAGAATTCTTTTTGAGAACTTAGTCTGTAGGCAAAACTATTTCTTTCTTCTGACCTCGCTGTCCCTGTGTATAAAACAATTGTCTCTGGTTTAAATATTTGTTGTTGCTGTTTGCCAATCGAATGGGCACAAACCCTCTTTTTTTTTTTCTTTTTCGAGAAAGGTGACAAATAGCCGCAAAGTTCTTGTGTAATTTGAAATAATGCTTCAAATTCTGAGTGAAAATGTTCCCCAGACCTTAAATAAAACAGGTCGTTATTTATGTCTAGTTGTACGTAGATCTTTTACTTATCTGCCTGGATAATGTTTTCTTCAGTCACTTGTTCCTGTTACGTATATTATTACATATCTAAAATCTATAGTGAAATCGTTCTGTATACCTGCAATGTATTGTCAAAGCAACACAATATATTAATGAATCTGCCAATTGGCTGCTTTATTGTGAGCAAGTTGTTAATGGCTGTAAAATAAGTTAGGCCTCAATTGCTGAAAGAGAAAAGGGAGACCCCCAAGCCGATCCTCAGATACAGCATTTATCGTCCAGTAATATGGGTGCTGCTGCTGCATTTGAGGAGGGGGGTGAGGCCCCAGATGGCAGCTGCTTGCATATAAGAGATTCCTTGTCTGCTGCATTAAACCAAACTGGAAAGGAGGAAAAAAAACCTAATGTGAATTCCCCCCCCTCCACCTCTTTCCAACCAGTAATTTAAAAAGAAATTCTAAAAAGCGCTGTGTGAAGGTTGATGTCTGGAGCCTTTGAGCGTATTGCAAACTTTTCTTTTTAATGCACAGGCAACACCTCCCCCTCATACACACGCACACACTTTGCTTTGTGTTAGATTTGTTTTTCCCTGGCTCTTCACCTTCCCCCCCCCTCCCGCACCCCCTCTCCGTCTTTTGATCTGTTTGTGACTACATTAAGTTGCCTAAAGATGGAAAGCAGAAGAGTTCTAGCAAATATCCATAAACCTGCCGGGAGTTTAATTTTTTTTTCCTTTAAAAGTAGGGTAAGAGGGGAGGGGGGGAGGAGGAGGAGGGGCCTGGGGGATGGGGGGAGGGTCCCGGGGAGCTGGTTTGAAGTCTTTGTCCTGAAGGGGGGGAAAAGTGTTCTGCTTCTAGTGAAAGGAACCCCATATGAGTCAGGTTGAAGGGCAG